CACCTTACCCTTGGTGATAATGAGTAACTCAATATCACAATAATAGAAAGAGGGGTAAAAAAGGAAAGAAGACATAAAACACCAGATTAGGTGCTCTATAAATCTTCATCAGACTCCAGGACTAATAAAAAAAGCCAGATGCAGCTGCCTAGTAACTAATCCCGTGCAGCTTGAGAGGTTTCCTCTCCATTAGCCAGAGGCAAAGTGAAGCTGGGAGTGGAGTGACTTTGTTCCACCAATATTATCCACATTCTCCAGAAACTTCTTTCACTTGGATCCTAAAGGGTTATATAGAGAAATCCTTAGGTTGCTTTTACATTAAATGAGGCAATAGGCTTATTCTTATATACAGGGTGGGGCAAAGTAGTTTTACAGTTGTGAGTATACAAAACAGTTTATTATTGTCTTATTAATTATTATATTATTTTCCATACGAATTACTGTAAGTCTACCTTCTTCCACCCTGTAAATAAATCTCTCTTAAGTTTGTCTTGAAAGATGCAAAATAAATCTTCTAAAACACTACATTATTGTTCACCAACTTTAAAACGTAAGAAAATTGGTTCATTGAAAGCATTATCGTGAAGGTTTTAACACAGTAAACAAAAAAGGAGTCCTTGCTGGCATGGCTGGTGTGGCTCAGCGTACTGAGCGCCAGCCTGCGGGGCAAAGGGTCGCCAGTTCGATTCCCAGTCAAGGCACAGGCCTGGGTTGCAGGCCAGGTCCCCAGCAGGGGGCGCGCGAGAGGGAACCGCACATGGATGTTTCCCTCCCTCTCTCCCTCTCTTCCCCCTGCCTCTCAAAAAAAATAAATAAATAAATAAAAAGGGACGTGAACTCATGGACATGTACCGCCAACAAGGTGTATTTTACTGTATATGAATTTAAAAACCAATGTAAAATGAAGTCAAACCTTTGACTTTTGAATTAACAAACAGACACAATACAAAAGCATCTTTATTTTTATAACTTTATTAATACCTATATTAATGAATATAAGAAAACATGCAATACAGAACCTGAAATAGAACAATCCATACACGTTTGCCACTGGACTCCATACCGCCATCCTGGGCCACACGCTCTCAACCACCTTGCTCCCGAAGTGCGGCGGCAAAGCTGCTTCGGGCTACTGTCCATTTCAGATGCTGTATGATGTCACAGAGGAAGGGTCTTTTCCAAATACAAACATAAATCTATATTTCATAAAATCCCAAGTATTTGAAGCAGAGATAGCATAAATTTCACACATTTGATTTCTAAAAATATCACAATCACTAAACAATTGCCTTCATTGTTTTTCACTTGTGCACACACATTTTTCTGAGTAGCCTTTTCATGACTACTTCTGCTGTCGTCAGCTTGCACCGCTTTAAAAATCACAGTCACTGAAAGCACACGGAGTGTTAGCGTACAAAAGCTACTACGAATGACTATTTCAAGGTCTTTGCACAAAATCGCTCTGGTGTGGTAATTGGCACGTAATGTAAAAAGGCTTTGTCCAACCACAGTTTAGCTTCTCTTGCTCCCACGTTTCCAGGGCAATTGTGCCCCTTGGAAACAGCCAAAACAGTGCCTAATGGTTTTGTGTTAGAAACTTCATCTAAACAGAATTATAAATGTGGTTCGAAACAAACATGAAAGAAGAAAGACAAAAAAAGAGAACCATACTGGAAAATGTCAATCAGAAGAGTGTAAAAAAAAGCCTAAATGCCTCGGTATTCATAAATGTATATCGGGAGATACACGCACATTCGGTCTTAACGTAAACAACAAAAAGCTATCGTTGCAATGAACATGTGGGTCAAATGTACTTATTTTTTTCATGACTGAAAAGGATTTTTGGGAGGGCATGTGACTTGAAGACATCATAAGGACTGCACAGTTCGTGATTGATTGTTTTGGGTCTATGTTTATCCCTTTTCATGGAAATGTGTGACAAATATTAGTCTGGGAAGGCAGAGGCTCTCGCTGTCACCATCACAATGGCACTCGTCATTTGACAGCCGTGTCTTCTGACCAAATTTACATTACCAGAAAGTGTTCAATAACTAAATTAGACTACACAAACTGCACTTGCTAAGTTCGTTACATTGTCTGCATCATATGTAACTTTGTTTTTAATACACCCACACAGTATTAGCTTAAACTTGAAGAGAAAATTCAAGAAAACAATGTGTATGCACGTAGCATATAAGATACAAGGTGTTTAAATACATACTTATAAATGTGATATAGTAATGCTATAGCAAGTAAATTGTTAATCACATGTAACTGAACATAGCCACAAAAAGAGAATAACCAGTCTCACTGAATATATTACCATAAGTTGTCATTCAATTTGAAGCTCAAATTGCAAACTAAATCAAGTCTCTCTTTTTTTCCAAGGGCATTATTTTGGACTGATGGTAAAACAAGACTTTTCTCTAGGCCCGTGAGCTGTGTCAACCTATAGCTCTGTCTGTGCTGCCAAATCTTGGCAGTGTGATGAGAAAGCTCTCGTCGGACCTGAGCCTTGGAAGCCACACCAAGACAGCGGGCTTTCTCCCGCTTCCGTTCAGCGCCTCTCTGGTGGGGACCCAGAAGAGCGGCCCAGTCCGTGAACATTCGGTCGGAGTTAGAAAGGGCGCTGAAAGCGCATTTGTTCATTCCTACAGCTCTAGGAAAGGTAGCAAAACTTGACCAATTTTTAGACAGGAGCATTTAAGACCGCACTTATAACTCAGTAAACCACGCTATCCGGAAAAAAAAAAAATCCGAAATATCTAAATTTGGCTCCTATTCTGATTCTTATTAACATAGTAAGCAGTTGTATTCCTAACATACTATTTAATGATTTTTCCCCGTTTTTCCTTTTTGTCTCTTCTCTTTACTTAATTTTGTGTGTGTAGATCTTAACTAAAATGTGAAGAGAAAAAATGTGAAAGTTACTAAAATAAAAGAAAAAATTCTCACACATTATCTGTGCAAGTTTTCAGAGGAAAAAAAAAACCCCAAAACAACCTACAGTCTACTGGAAGCTCTGATTTTGTTATTCTGGGGTTCTGTATCTTCCCCAGGTTTAAAATCTTCATCAGCAATAACATCAACAACTATATCAAAACCTACACATGGTCAAATCTCAATAAACTCTCAAACATCATCCGTCAGTCCTTCCGGATTCACATGCACCCGGACTTCCAGTATTAACAAACGCAAAGGAGAAAAAATATTAACACTACTAATTCAGTTGAAATTTCAGTAATTAAAGTTTTGCAGTTAAAAGGTAAGAAGTTATTCTACACACCAAAGCAAGTACAATTTAAAGAGCTTCCCGATGGGAACAATATATTCTCCAACGCTACGTAAACTGCCGGGCAAACATTCAGTGGAAACCTTCACCAATGAAACTATACATTCACCACAATTTATAGTACAACATTTACACACAGTTCAATCATAAATTACACTTCTTCAAGTTACACATTACAAAGTCTACATCTAATTTAATTAACAAGAAATATTCACTCCCCCCCCACCCCCAATTAATACATCAATTGTCTCTTGGTTGAGCGTAACACTGAAACAAGACATTTTCTGGGCTTTGCTATGGAGAAAAATGAAGTTGGTGCTGTTTCTGTAAATTGGTCATGGCCAGTTAGAAGGACAACAAAGGAAACAAAGAACCTAAGGAAGAAGCTGGCGTCCCTGGGGACGCCACTGTATTCTTCGCTTAGAACAGATTTCGTTTTCATAGAGACTTTGTAGTTGTTGCTTTAGTGTGTTATTGGGGTATTTCTCATCTACCCCAAGAAGTAGTCATGAACCTTATCTCTCCCTCTGCACATCTCCTTAAAATTCTGTCCTGTAACACCTTTCATGTGGATTTAGAATTATATCTCTTGATTCTCATCTTGTTAGCAGTGGTTTTCGTCAGTAAGTTGAGCTAGAATGACAAAAATCCCTTAGTCATAGAGGTTTGTCATGTGGTTTTATCTACAGTTACATTAATTTGTTTATTCTTTCTACTGACCATCTTTGGGTATCGGCCTATTCAGCTGTCATGTCAACGGTTAAAACTTCCTGCTGTTCTTTAGAAAACAGCAGTTTCCTGTTCTGGCTATAAATGAATCACACGTCAAATACATCCACTTTTCTTGTGATTTCCAGGCTGTTATGTACAAATTCCAGAAGATAAAGAGCCAATTAATAATGGAATCTAGGCTTAAATTGCATATACAACACAATTTCTGATGCACGTTACACTAAATTACAAAAATAATTTTTTATAGAAAGAGGCCCATTTGGACACAGTTATTGCACTTCAGTGTCTCGAACTCTACTAAAGAGTAGAGAATAGGTTACAGACATCAATCTGTACAGTGTATATATATATTCTTTACGTAAAATGTATATACAAATTCTATCACAATATATTCTTCAAATAAAGGTAGAAAACATAAAAAAGACAGAGACAAAATATAAGAGTTATTTACACGCTGTACTGTGCACTTTTGTACAAACACCAATAACAAAAAACTAGAGACCAAGAAGTCTCAAACAAAGAGACAAAAATGCTATCCTACATCTACCTTCTAATGCTATCTGAACAAAAGTTGAGCTAAACTAAAATCAGATATCCGCTAGCTTTCCGTTTGTTACCTCCTAGGTCTACAAAAATCAGAATGGAAAAAATCAGTAATATTGCACATTTTGTTAAAAATAAATGAAGTCACAGTGCATCAGAAATACTGTACACTCCGTATTAATATCTAACATGGTAAGCCTTTCTGTACAAAAGGGAATGAATTTTTCATTTCTTTTTAAATACACATTCCGAATTAAATGGTGAATTGCTCTTTGCCTTTTGACTAAGGGTCTAGCTCTAGAGTTTGTTCTGGTATCTGTTTCTATTTACATAACTATGTACAAACCTAACATTTGGGAATAGTCGTTGAAACTGGGTCTTAAAGCTTGACTATATACATGCTGTCGAGAAGTGAGAGTCAGCTGTCGGGGCCTTAAAACAGATGCTCATCCACGCCGGGAGAGCCATCCCGAGGGGCCCGGGCCTGCGGCCCAGGAGCGAAGGTTTTCAAGGCGATGACTTTCACCGAGTCATCCCTGCGACAGTGGGGCCGCGCGCCCCCCTGCGCCCCCTGATCGAGAGCCTGCGGACCCTCGGGCCCGGCCCCCGCGCCCCAGCCCTGGGCGGCCGCGGGGCTGAGGTGGAGAGCAGAGACCTGTGCGCGCGGCGGGCTGTGACTCAGGGCGACAGCCTGGGTCACCGGGGGGCTCTGGCGGCGGCGAGACGAGGCCGGGGTCGCGGGCGGGCTGGGGCCGGCGCGGGCCATGAGGGCGGCGGGCATCCAGCAGGAGTCCGAGTGGCCCAGGATCAGACACTCGTGGGTGCAGGTGTCCGGCACCTCGTCCAGGGGCGGCTGCACCGTCACCTCTGCGGCTGCGGGGTGGGGGGGGATGGGGGGAACAAAAGGCGAAACGTTTTACTTAAAAGAGGTCGTGGCTACGGGACAAATTAACAACCGATACACAAATACATCAGAGACGCCCAGCATTTTCACCGTGTGTTCCTGATTTGTCAGAAACGAATTCCTAGAGAAAACAGAAATAAGCCGGAGCGCGCAGATGGAACCTCATTTTCATAATGAGGGTGCATTCCCTTCGTCTCCCAAAGGTGCATAGTCTGCAAATGCGAACTAGGGTCATTGACCTGCACATAAAAGTCCATTGATATATGGTTCCAAACTAACAGGCAGTAAGGACGTAAGTGAAATGAATGGGAAAACCACTCATCGAAACATATAATGAACTAACCAATTATAACTACCCATTTGATTAAGAATCTAATTAATGACTCTGAGAATATATCTAAAGATAAATTAAATTAATTTGAAAATATAGTTTACTGAACTCTAAAATGCCTTTTTATTTCAAGAATGACGTATAGCTACAATTATCTCAAACATAATTGATTTCTGTATTTCCCAGTTTCTGAAATAATCACAAATCAGTTTAATGACACAATAAACTACAGATGTAAACTTCTTAGTATTAAACTAAAGGAGGTTTCTAAACCTCCTTTATAAGGCTTCTGTAAAATTTCCGAATGCCAATTGGTATCAAATATCAATAACCACATCATAAAAACACTGGTTAAATAAAAAGAGTAGCTACATCAATATAAAATACAACTGTACAACAAGGAATGTTATTAGCTCCAATGAAGGATGTTGCACGATAGTAAAAACATCAATTCTCTGAAAAGACAAAACCCTACAAATTAAAAATATAAATTCATGACCCTATAAATCTTCAAAAGGACAACTGAAGAGTAAGATGTGTAATGACTCACTTTCATTAAGGCTAAATATCTCTATTAAATAACTATTCTGACATTAAAATTTAAAATATTCTACATTTTTACACAGTTGTATTTGAGAAATAGGGAACATAAAGGTTTATATATTAGGGGTGATATTAAATTATAAACTATGCACATATAACTATAATGGAAAATTTAATTTCCTGGTCATCATAAAAGCGATTGATCGGGGAGCCTTATATTTTACAACAATAAATATAGTTGTGATATCGAATCATTTGCCTATTTATGATAAGCAAATTGATACAAAGTCATTTTAACTGAAATAAGATATGGTTTATTACATATTATTTCCTATTTATTAAAGTTATTGGGGGTAACATTGGTTAATAAGATCATATGGCTTTCATGTGGACATTGCATTGTGTGATCTTATTAACCAAAGTCAAACCTTCTACCCTTTTCTACTCCCCTGCCCTCTGGGGACCACCTAGAAACCCTGTGTTTCTGAGCTTCAGTTTCATATCCCACGTACGAGTAAAATCATAAGGTTTCCAAAATTTGGCAAATTTTTGGATTAAACAGAAAAACAGTTGACATAATCTTTTTTTAAATTTTTTTATTAAATGTATTGGGCTGAATGTATTCATCTGTACATGGTATTGTGTGTTTGCCGCCCCAAGTCAAGGGCAGATAGTATCTCACCTAAATTGCTTTCCAAAAGTGTGGTGGAGCAAGGCAATATTATTGTTCAAATGATAATTTTCTATAAAATATAGTTAACTTATGGTATCTCTAGAGCTTCTCTCAAAAATTCATCTTGACAGTAACCTTTTTGTTTTGCCACCAGTTTCTTTTGCTGTGTGAAAGCTTTTTAGTTTTAATATAGTCCCATGCATTTATTTTTACTTTTGATTACATTGCCTTTGAGGTCAAATTCATAAAATCCTTTCTAATACCAAGGTCCATAAGTTTAGTGCCTGTTTTCTTCTATGTAATTTATTGTTTCAGGTGTTCTATTTAAGTCTTGGATCCATTCTGAGTTAATGTTTATGCTGTTTGTTTATGGTGACAAACAGCAGTCAAGTTTCATAATAAATAACCAGAACCTTATTGGCATTATTTGTTCTAAAAAACCTCTTTTTTTCCCTTTAACTAAAGGCTATTGCTATAGTTAGTCACATTTTTGATAAAAAAGAAAACTATTCATGACGTACAGACAGATGAAATCGTATGTCCAGAGCTACCAAAGGTAAATCTTACACACAATTTGGTGTACAGAATATCGTTCACAAAGTGTGTGTGTACAGTTTATAAAAACTAAAGCTTTTACTCTCAGTAATTCAGGACACCTTGGATGAAAATCGTAGTTTAATTTTTAAAATTTTTATGATAAACTTCACTGTTGCATATCTAAGCACATACAAATTCACCATCTACTAGTGAATCAATATTAAATAAGTGCACAAAAACAGAAGTGCAATTAATGTTCTAACAGTTTCCATTTGAATGCATGCTGCTAAAATATTCTTTTAAGAACAGTTTTGTTAGTATCCTTTAATATTATTGACATCATCTAATAAGCTTCACAAACTATTTCCCAAAGAGATAGCATGAGACAAGCCCAGATGAACTCAGTGCAAATTCAAAATAACCTGCATTGTGAATCAGTGGAGTTAAAATTAATTACACCTAAAACAACATTCTTGGAGGGTTTCTGTAACTCACTAATAACATTTAACTTTAAAGAAATTAATGTTTTCCTGGGGAAGTATATTATCCTCACGCAGAACCAATACCCTGTGGATATCACAGTAGTGTTTTATAGGGAAAATGTGATGTACTCATATAGTTGATTATTTGATCATGTTGAAAAGGCAACTTGAACTAAAGGTAAGATTTTAATGATGACTAAAAATCTGCCAATATGCATATCAATGAGGTATACTGGGAAAATACAATATATAGCAGGATAATAAAAATGTATATTCACAAAGAACATACGAGGTCTGTCTGGAAGAAGATAGATCATTGTTCATATAATGAGAATGGTTTGCCCGACACTGATGTAACCCAGCAGCCAAGGAGAGCGGACTGGAACGCGCATGCGTGAACAAGGACGACTTCACTGTCCTGGTCCGTGGGGGCGGTAGAGGCCGTCGAGTGCGCATGTGGACTGTGTGGCCGTCGCATTCAAAATGACTGAGCTAGCAGAGCAAGGAATCTGCATCCAATTTTGCATGAAGCTTGAACATCCCTCCACGGAAACTATTGAGGTGGCTCAGAGGCCGCAGCTGGGGGCAACGGGTGACTGGCAGCTTCATCACGACACCACGCCCGCTCACGCATCCCGTCTCCAGCAGGGTTTTTGGTGAAGCATCCAATCCCCCAGGGGACTCAGCCCCCTACCGCCCAGATTGGGCGTCTTGGGACTTCTGGCTTTTCCCAAAACTCACATCTCCTTGGAAAGGGAAGGGGTTTCAGGCTGTCAATGACTTTTAGGAAAAAACGACAGGGCAGCGGATGGCGACGGGGAGAACTGTGTGAGGCCCCACGGTGCCTCCTTGGAAGGGCACCGAGGCATCCTTGCCCATGGACCATGTTTCTTGTATCTTGTATCTTCTTCAGTAAATGTCTCTGTTTTTCACAGTACATGGCTGGGTACCTTCTGGACGAACCCTGTATTGCAGAGCACTCTGTCCCCCTATCTCTCTTTGGAAATCACTTACAAAAGAATTGTTTCCATCTGCAGGAGACTGAAATATATTGCCAGCGCAGTGGAATGAAGATAACTGTTAGAGTGTAATTGATATGTTTTGTCTCAGAGAGAAAAATGCGCTCTTATGAGGTTAAACAAATTTATCTGGACAATCTTTTCCTTCATTCTAAACGCTTACTCTTACGTGACCTCTAAATTGCTTTTGAGAACCATCTATTACCTCATATTTATTTAATTGCCTGATATATAATATGCATTTCAGGAAACAGAGGTGCCAATCCCAGTGTCTCACAGTTCGGATATCAAGGTCCCGTGCACGTCAGTGCGAGGACAAATGCATATTTTATAGACACTTTCCTTCGCGCTCTCTGAAGGCTGAAGTAAGTGTTCATTATCCAGAAATTGCCAGTCAAACTGTTACACTTAATGCCTCTGTTAATCTCTGATAGCAAATTTCACATGATGGAGGTCTTCCACAGGTCACTTGATTAGTGTTCAAAGCTGAACTCTCATGAAAAAGAATGAGATATTGTTGTAAATTTGTTTTGATCTCTCTCACTCTTCCACTAGCTTCCCAATTGTATTCCCTCAGGAGTTTCCATGCGGCGTTTTAGGGGAATATGAGGTTGTAACTGCTACATTCGTTTCAGGAAAACTTGTTATTGTTTGATTTTGACCTAAGAGGTTGATAGTTCGGACTTTGGTTTCCTGTGGTCCAAATACAGAGGACAGGTATTTGAAACAGTCAGCCCAGATTTTACAGTTTTATTTGAGAGTTTTTTTATGAGTTAAAATTCCCCTACTATTGTTGGAGATGCTCACTGAAAATTGGCAGTTTTAATCTCGGCATGTAAGTAAACTAGCCAGAGGAACCGCAGGAACAAACACTGCGCGGAACTCTGAACACAGCGAACGAAGGAGGGCGAGTAGGTGAAGCAGCCAGAGAACACGAGAGGGCGGGGTCCTTGCTGAACCGGCTCAACAAGGTCCTCACTTGTAAGCTTTTCCACGTAACAGTATTTTTCAACTACCCACTTGGTCATTCCTCTACCTATTTCTCTAGAAGAGACAAAGCATATTATTGGAAAAGAAGAAGAGTATGTGATAGAAACTGTTCTGATAATGGGATGAAGGAACATTGAAATACATTAATTATAGTTATCATTTAAATAGAAGAGGTTAAATGTCTATACTTTTTCTTTATCACTTTCGTGGGCAGATTGAGTAATGACTCATTAATGATAATCGTGCTATTAACCCTGTCGGCACATGGCAAGTATAAGGGTTGACAGAGAGGGTTCCCACACCGGGTTATTATATTCAACCCAAAGGATTGAAGGCGCTTCTTCACAGCACTGGACAAATAACAGTACGGGATTCCCATTGAATTTTGAATTCC